ATCTGTTTTTGCTATCTTTTCCTCTGCGTGTTACTTACAAATGGCATTATCGGATATCCATTGTTTGGACTTCAATGCTCCTAAATGGTCTGATATATTGAGCCGAGGCTTTTAAGGTGGTTACAGGGGATTTCTGCCTTTAACTTGGCATAAAAATAAAATGAATTGTGGCTTTGAAAGTTTTAAATATTTATGATTTTTTTTTTTTTATTCCTGGCAATAGCAGTGCCAAAGAGGGAAAGTGAAAATGAGTCCTGTGTTATGGAGTAGTGAAGTAGTACAGCAGACTGCAGCAGCAGAGGACAGTTATGAATGTGTGTGTGTGTGTGTGTGTTTGCTTTCATGTGTGTGACAAGGACAATAGAAACGGGTCCAGTGTAAAATCTTCCTCTGGAAGAAAACATCCCTGAGTCACTTTTCCATATGTTCACTTTGAACCACGTGTGCATTATTTTCAGCACTTTTGCGCTTCTATAAAAAACGAAGCTGTCATAGTTGTGGCGTGGTGTTTAATGCAAAGAGAAACACAGTGCATTAAAGCCACACACAATAACCAAACTATCTTCGTAACACCATTGTGCCTCGGCCCTTTTCCTCCTCTATACCGCCACTGGGATTTTTCAATTCTTGTCAGAATGAATTTCACAGCCCTGATCACACAGCACAGGACGCAGAGCAGGAGCCGGAGTCTGCCCTCTTTGTCTGCTCGCCTTGCAACTGTGTGTCAGCAAATGTAATTGTTGCGAGCTCCTATAGAAAAAAATCGCTGCCGTCCCTTTAAGTGCTTCCACCAATTCTGATGGCGTGGTGATTTACATATCCCGTCCTCCCTCCCCCTGCAGGAGAGCTGAGCGAGGATGTGGAGGCTGCTAGTGAGACCACCACAGACCAGGAGGACCAAACCAAAGACAGAGAAAGTGGGGGGGAGAAGGAGCTCACCAAAGGGACAGGTAAGGCCAATATTTGCACCACATACACTTAGGGAACATTTATCCACAAGAAGCACGTGGTCCTGCTCCTGAACCATGATTTAGTTAGATGACAGTCTTTAAACCAACGCACTGACTGTCTTTGATGCACTAAACTCCCAAAAACTCTGTTTGGTTTCACACTGGCTGCATCAAAATGCATTGAATTACACACACTATACAAACACACACACACACACTTCAGTCTAGCAGTTAGCAGAAATGTCCAGGTGAAATGTTACTCAAGTGTTTCGTTCACTCCCGAGCTGCTGTGATCAGATAAAGGCCTCTGAGCGTGAAACCAGTTGAGCCGCGGGCCATGTTTGTTTTCACGTCTTCACACTGATTTTTCCAGTTTGATGACGCACACCTACTCACTCACCGGAACACAAACCAAACACCTGTCTGTTCTTTATTGTTCTCAGATCATGCTGGTTTTATCTGTGGACGTTTTTTTAATTGACAGGTGAAGGTGAGGTCTCCTAAGCATGGGTGGGTGGGGTCTGTGAGTTGGGAGGAGGAGCATTAGGCAGAAGTATTCCAGGCATCTTTAAGCATTTTCAACTCTCCATCAGACCCAGGGATTGGGGTCAGTGCACTTTTGTTTTGGAGGCGTGGTTGTGGAGTGTTGTGTTTGGGAGCTGTCCCGGAAAAGACGCTTGACGGTGAAAGGGAAGAAGCAACTTTATTCAATGGGAGTTTGTTTACTGCTTATAAGTGGCGTATAAGAACAATGTGTTTGTACACAATTCATTTTACATTGTTAGAGAAATAATTGATTTAGACTAGTTTGCAGTGATGGTATTTAAGTAACAAAAGTATTTGTCAAAAAACTTCCACTTATTGTGTAGACCTGGAGTCAAGCACGTGCACCTATGCTTTAGTAACAGCTTTTTATTTTTGACTGAGTCTTTTCTAGATTTGAAAACAAACACTACTCTGACCATTTGAGAATTTAAAGTAGATACTGTGGTAAAAGAGAGAGAGAGAAAAAAACCCAAATCCTGACGATAACGACACGTAGCAGAAACAGGCATGAAGAGCTGCCGTTCACTTGTCAAACTTCTTGTGCTATCGCAGAATGTTTTGATTTACACTCGTCAGGTTAAACGCTTGAAAACAATTCAGACCTTTTGCGAAGCCACGTTTTTTTTTTGTCCATGAAGTGCTGGAAAAAAAGAGAGAAAACTTCATCATAGTGTTTGAAGCCCGGCGTTTGCAAAATGTCTTTGATATTCGAACTTCTATTTTAAATGAGGCTGAGTTGTTTGTGCTCTTTGAAAGGGCGACACTCTTCTTTGATGGGGAGAAATAATCATATGCATGCCTGACTGAATATGGCTAAAAGTATGTTTTAGCACATCAAAATAAAGCACTTTAAAAAGCATTAAAATGAGCCGGCCGATTAATAATTCACTCATACCTGTGGTGCACAGGAAGACGACTCCTCACATTAGGATTCCTCCTTTTTGAAAGGCATGCAATTTGATACAAGCATATTCAGTTCTTTTTCCTCCCCGCTGTCAGTCGCTAATCACCAAATAAGTGTGTTTCTGTGTTTTCACAAAGGAAATATGTGCTTGCATATGAAAAATTTACAGCTTCCCAGCAGCTTATTAGAAACACTTACTTAAAAATAGCATGTGCATTAGTGAAACCAGGGCCTGAGGTTTTGTTTGATGTCAGAGTAAAGGTGGGTGAGGGAGACGGGGCGGTGGGTTCAGGCCTGTGTTGTCAGCGAAAGCTAGAGAGCTGTGGTTTAATGGACGGGGTCATGTTTTGTATCTTCAACTTTTTTGTTTGTGTTGATGACTACAGTCGGTATGTAAAACAAGCAAACACAACCAAACTTGTGGGCCATAAAAAAAATGCGACACCTGCAGTCGGTAAACACAGGGTCACCTGTTTGGGCACGTGTTTGTCTGAAGGTGTTTGTACAGTAGACGCACAAATGTTTTCTGTCTTAGACTATACGGCGAGCGAACGTCACAGGCAACCTGTTATTCATGTGAACGCCGCTCAGTCTCCCACCGTCTGTTTTTGTGAGGTCCGTCATTAGAAGAACTGAAGCACTTCTTCTCGTCGCTGTCATGTAGCTGTTGAAACAGAGCACAACATTGTTCCTTTTACAAATGACAGTGACTGTCAGACAGGCAGCACCAGTGAACACAGGAGAGGGGGGAGAAAAAAGCTTCTCTTCTTTTTAAAGCCACTGTCAATCTTCCTCTCTCCTCCTTGTTCCTGCGCTCCTCAGTGTTCATTAAAATCATTTAAAGATACACCAGCAGCCTTTGTCAAATGCATATGTAGTTGGCAGGCCGTCCGTGGAAGGATGCCTTCATTGTTTAGACGTTTTTTTATTTATCTCTAAAACAATACATCTGTGTGTTCAGACCTGATGTAAATGTCACACGCTTCTCACCCCGCCAGCAATATGTGTTGTCACACTTGTGTTTGTTATTCAGTGTATTATCAACTATACCATCATAGGAAGAGGTACCAGTGAAATATTTGAAGGTAAATGTATTTCTTCACTGATGTCCGTGGCGGCTGGGGCTATTTAAATACGCAGACATGACTAGTGATTTGAAGGGTCATTTTTAATGCTGCTTATAAAATATGTATAACAAGACAGTCGTGGGTTGAGTTGGATTTTTCTCACACCGTCGTCACCAGCCCAGAGACTACACTAATGAAAGGAAGAGGGGCTGCGTACAGTGGGGTCCTTAGCTTCATTAACACAGGTGGTGTACTGCAGAGACGCGGCGTAAATACACACAGGCTGAAAGGAGGAGAAGGTTAGGGAAGAAAGGAGGAGAAGGTAAGGGAAGAAGGAGAGAGGGACAAAATGAATAATGCACGTGCAAATGGGATGCATTGCAATGTAAAACTAAATACATGTATGAGCAAAGGCTGTTTGAGGGATGAGACTGTCTCCATGCTCATCGAGGAGGACGATGATGATGTGTAGTTGTTCTTTCTTTTGTCTTTTCTTGAGTTTCATCTATTTTAGACAGAGTATTGTATGTCGGAAAATATATTTCAGAGAAGATCAGTCACCTTCTAAATCCTGATAATGAACTGATTAACTTCTAGTTAGAGGATGAATAATAAAATAAGTACACATATACACAATAGTAAATACTAATTAATTTGACTCTGTGTTTATTCAATGAATTCCTAACAGTTATGACCTCAGTTTTATTCATATATTTTTTTTAAATAAATACAATCCTTTTTACTTTGTAATCACATGCTCCTCAGAACTTTGTCTCTACTTGCATTTGTTCAACTATTACTATGGTATTTTATAGTATTCGAGTGTATTTCAGCACCCATTTCAAAATGGTCAGAAGAAATGGATATTCTGATATAAAACCTCATTGTTTGTGTACTTGTACTGAACTGTGTGGCTGAGGCTGCTGTGTACTCTGGAGATGAGGATTCCGTCTGTGCAGTGAACCTGTTGGTTAGCATCCCCTAGATGCGGCATTGTGGCATTGCACTTTGCATTAATTTTTACCCTGCTTCACACGGAGCCTTAGTCTGTCCCCTGGTGCTGCTCACTCACCAACAGACAAACCAACGGTTGTAAATGATCCTCCACACAGCGGTGCAGATATGTAGATTTAATATTAGCTGTGGCTGCAATGACCTGCTCATGGTTAGTTACAATCAAATTATTCAGGTTTATGTTATTGTTGTTCTAAGACGGGGGACATTCACTGCGGTGGTGATTTGTTAGTGCTTTTTAAACACTAAGTAGTATAAGAAATCAGCAGACGACGCAGTAAAATTGTTTACATATGCATATCACGTCCCTGGAGTACTTGTCATCCCTCAAATTATAATTCCTTTTGTCTTTGAAGATAATAGGCCATAAATTGTCCTTGTTTGTGAGCCAACTCCCTGAAAGCTGTGTTTATGGGCTTTACCACAGGACGTCTAATGGCCGAGCACCAGTGCAGTGTGTCTGAGTGTCCTAGAAAGGTGAAGCTAATCTAATCCTACTGCTCACTGGCCTGGAAATTACAAAATGCTGCTGCTAATTAACAAGCCTCTCACTGTCTTGATGGTGGCTCACGGACCGGTCTTCACTTGTGGTCAAGTCGTTCGCCTGAACATGTATGATTGTTTCTCTTTGAGGAAACGTCCGCAGCCATTCTCACTCCATCTGAATACAACTCCTGCAACAATTTTTGTAACCAACCATTGCTTCCCTTTACTGACAAAAAAAGTCAGTAGTCATCATTCACGTGGTCTATTTTCAATGTGTTTTTAAAAAACATAACATAAGAAAAAAAAAGAAAAAGAAAAAAAAACACAGGCCGAGGGCAGTGTCACAGCAGACAAACAGAAACTTTCTTCTTTGTGAGATAATAAAATAACTGAGAGGATAACTTGACTTGAATGAGTGCTTTTTTTAAAAAAAAGTATACTGTCCCTTTAAGATACAGTATAGACATGAACCGACAAATGATCTGTTTGTCTTGCAAATTATCCTATAAATACATCAAATTTGTGAAGAATTGTGTTCTTTTTTGTTTTGATTTTGACCCAAAACTACCAACAGGACTGGAACATTGTTCTCCTAATACTCTGTGTACTGACGTTATATTTAAATAACGACCCGACTTTGGAGAAGAGACGAGACACTCAAGCCTTGTTTGCATCACATTAGGAACATGTAGCCCAGTGGATCATCTCCATATTAATGTCCAGTTTTGCATATGGAACAGAGAGAAAGGAGAAAAAGCAGGAAGTCCTCAGAGAAAAGGTGAAGGGTTTTATTTTTTGTTTCTGAAGTAGGGAAATTACCTGACACATTTTAGGAATATTCATAGGAATTCATGTGTGTGTGTATAAAAACTACACCGTGATATGATGTGTTTAACTGTAATAAGGTGGCAGAGGCTCATTGGTTGATGATCCCATGTTGAGGTAGGAAGAAAATATCCTCTCCCCCGTTTCCTTGTTATTCACACTTGAGTAGTAGATGTAGAGACAATATAACCTTTCCCAAGGACAACACCAGTAAATGGCAGCCGTGATTGCACTTGTGGGACCTTTGAATGGCAGCCGTGGCAGTCGAGCCACTGCTGTTAATTCAGTCTGCACCGTGTCACTCACTCTGACCGGCAGCCATCTTTTTCTCCTCTTGAAAGCTCAGTGAGGATGTGATTGCTCTAAAGGCCATTGCCGTGTACCGACGGCCCCTCCGCTGCCTGGATAATTCAACCCAGATAGGTGAGACAAGGTGCCAAACTCCAATTCACTTACGGGACTTGGCAGCACAAAAGCCTGTGATTTACGGAAAAGGGACATGAATTAATAATAACCTAATTGACTCTTAGTTTTTCCCCTCTTGCTCGGCCTTTTGTGCTTTCAAACAAAAGGCTGCTGTGTTCGTTGGACGGGAGAGGTTTGGTGTAGATGAGGTATCTGTACAATGACCAGGCAGCAGAGGTCAGGGTAACAGACTCTCAGCAGATATTAAGGGCGTTTAACAGAGGATAATGGTTTCTCTCTTTTGTTCTACACCCGGGACGAGCTGCGAAAGTTTAAATACACGTGGGCTGCCGGGATATTCTAGAAGCTCTTCGCAGCCTGTCATGGAAGAGTCAGTGAGAGCGGTCTGCGTGTGAGTCTATACGATGAAAGTTATCATTTACAGAATGAATAAATGTTGTAACTACAGGTTAAACCTTGTGACGCAGGCGGTGGAGTCTGTGGAGTTCACTGCTGTGATCGCTCTCATTTAGCCACCGTTCTTATCTTATTGTAGATCCTTGTCTCTTACTAGTTGTGAGCACTCTCTCTCCACACACACACGTAGCCACACACAGTGCAGTTGTTCTCCGTGTCATCCTCACGACCCCATTGTTTCGCTCACTTTTTTTTTCCCAGCACCCTTGACAAAGTACAACAGGATACAGTAGTTGGATGTTAGTCACAGTGGCCGTGATGGTGTCAGGGTGTGAGATTCTCAGGAGACGCCGATTGATCAGATTTATGAAGTCCTAATTGTCCGTGACGAGAGACTGCATCAGAGCGAGCTCCACGCCGTCTCCATCTGTCCCCTTTACTCACTCACACTTCAACGTAAAATGTCCTGATCTGCTGTGCTTCTCTACAGCACGTTAACAGCTTGGTGCAGCACTTCTGTGCTAATTGATTACCTGTGGAAGTGGTGCGTACCTACAGTCAATTATGATTGTTGTCCTAATCAGCTAAGAGCATACTTTGTTCCACATATCATTTAAAAAAAAAGAATGTGATTATGTGTTATTGCAATTAAAACTACTTGATGACTTGAACTAATTCAGGTGAAGTTGTTCCTAATTGTTTTCTACTAAGAGCCTGGTGAGTTTATGGAAATTCTATTTATTAATTTTTAAATGAAAGGAATAAAAATAATGTCACCTGCTTCTGTGGTTTAAATGTACTGTATGTGTAATTTTCAGAAAATGGAAATGATGTGAAAATTCATATTTTCAGTTTGTACATTAAGTGCTAACAAGATTGGATAAAAAGCGACAGACAGTGGACAGAAGCAACGATGGCTTCTCAGTTTCTACAGTTATACAGTTATGATCTTCAGTTAGTATTATTGTGAAAATGTCCAGGTACTAAAAGCAGTGAAGTAGAACAGACTCGTGTGTGTTTTCCTGAGAGTGTATAAAATTATGGTGTAGGCTAAGAAGGTGATAAAAATGGTCAAATAAACTGAACTGACCACATGACAGTCCTGGTTTTCCTGAAGAGAGGAGTTCAGTTTGGAGCTACGGTGACTACAGTCAAGCTGAAGAGCAGGGATTTGTGGAGAACTGGGAGGTTAATGTCAGGGAATGGGAGGTTCCTTTTGTTTAACATTCCCTTTGTTTATTGGTGGATGTGTTTAATGGGATTGACTCTGACTGGACCCTAATAGGGCCTCCCAGGCTGATCCTGGTGTCTCTGGAAGATCTCCCATGCTGCTCTGTCCACAGCTAGCTCCCCCACGGTGTAATCAACTCAGCTGCCCTTAACCTGATTGTAGCTGACATCCTAATGTCCAGAACAGGAGCGTGGTCAGCCCCACTTAACCTGACCCCTTGGCCAAACCTCCCCTCCCTCACTGGTGCCCCCTATTCTCAATTTGCCCTTGTGGGACTCTACAAATCAGGGTAAATTTAACTCTTTATGGCCTTGTTAGAGGTGAGCAGGACACCTCCTCATGATTCTCAGTGGATTATTTCAATTGGTGACAGAGCACGATGTGACTGCAGCCCTCAGGATGGAGCTCCTCTGTGAAACTGGCCTTAACTAACAAAGTGTTAGTGAAGCTCAGGTGAGCTTGTTTGGAGGAGGGACCGCTTTTTGACCTTTACATTTTTTTAAAATAACGTTTGCATGATCAGATATGTGCAGATTGTTTCAGCAGATATAGGAAATATAATAAACACATTATTGTTGGTCCGTTCCAGAGACAGCGTACTCTAGTGTGGTCATGTCCTGTACACAATTACACTTGGGAATTTGATGAAATGTGACTTCTTTCATGCCCTACTAATCCTCAGGATTAATAAAAATCTATGATTTTCAAGAAAGTTCACATTTTGCTTGAGGGTTCGGAAGGAATTTTCCAATCTTCCTGTCCTATTTTTTTTTCCTTTGTCACAGTTCACTTACACAGCTCTTTAGTACGTTAGAGAGAAGCTGGGCTTGCTGCAGAAATGCAGGTCAAATGTAGAGTTTCCCTGGCATTGACCTGCTTATGGAAACATGGAGCAGGGGATTTCCCAAGTGTTGAACCGAAGCCTCTTTTTGATTGAAAGAATGCCCAGGAATCTTTCACAATTAATCCCTCGGTGTATAAACCCGATTTCAAAAGTGTTAAATCATAAGCCATCTCGGACGTTTTGTAATTGTGTTCAGAACAAAACGGTGTTTATTTAAATTTTTTAGTGAGCTCATAGCTTATTAGTTTATCTGGTCTCATGTGGACTGAAAATATGCAGTGGTGTGAAACCTAAAGCTGCACCCTGTGGTAAACTAATATTTCTGCTGGCTGTGTACTGTGTAGTGTTGTGTGATAACTTGTCAAGTCATCACTCAGGGAAGCACTTTCACTGCACGCCTCCTGTTACATGCATTTTCTTTTCTCCAGAAGTTGTTTATCAACTGTTATCAGCTGACATCCAACCAGGAATTCTCAGCCTCACGTTTGTGCTCCTCTCTTGTCTGTGTGTCTTTCCACATGTTCAGCTCTGTCAAGCCACTTGGAACAACAGCAGACTGAATCCCAAACCCCCTCCAAGAGGCCCTCGTCAAGGTCAGAGCCATCGGACAGCACTCTCTCACCGAAACGTCCCAGAACAGCTGAGAAGAACGCCTCAGAGCAGGTAGGTTTTCACCTGGTCATCCAAAGTCTTTAAACAACACAAATGATCATCTCCACTATTGTAATAGGTCATTTGAAATAGCAACAGCAACATACATTTTAGTATTTTGCAAAAACATGATACTTTGAAGTTGGTGCTAATATTCAGTAGTGCTCCGCATAATATTTTCTTTGTTATCAGAGAGGTCGTTCAGTTTAGGGTTGGGGGAGTCTTTAGGAAAGGCAGGTCACAGCCAGATCTTCATACTCACCACAAACTAACCAGTCTCCCTCCGTCTCCACCCCGACCCAGATGTACCAGTGCCCCTACTGCAAGTTCACCAACACAGATCTGAACCGCCTCAGAATGCACGTGATGACACAACACTCGGTCCAGCCTATGTTACGATGCCCGCTCTGCCAGGACACGCTCAACAACAAGATCCACCTGCAGTTCCACCTCACACACCTCCACAGCGTGGCCCCTGACTGTGTGGACAAGCTAATTGCCACCGTAAGTCTTTGAGTTTGTGTCTCATGCTTCGAGTTTGTGTTTGTGTGTGTAATTGGGTTTGTGGCGGTGGGAGAGGTAAGATTTACGCACTCGTTTTCTCTCACCTGGGTTCACATCTCTCTGTTAGATGGGTGTTTGTACACAATGTTCTAACTTGTAATCCAGCCCTGGACTAAGTGAAATACACAAGTACTTTAGGTAAGGCATCGTCCACATTTAGTCAGACAGTTAATTTATTTAATCTTTGTTAGTCAGACAGTCTCATTTAGATCTAGATCTTTCCTCGAGACCAAACCTGGCACTAATAGCCTCCCAGATAATGCATCGCACTGATCTACATTCTAATACAAACACTATCCATGACCTATGAGCCTGTCATTATTTGTAGTGAAAGTGGTTATTTTGTGTTAGGGGCCAGCAAACCAAATCTATGGACACACAGCCAGACAAGTCAAGGAGGGTGTGTGAAAATTCAAGGATGCCAAATAGACAAGTCAGTCCCCATCAGTCAGTTATACCCTGTTCACCCAGCTGTGGGAACAATTATCATTCATGTCCTTGCCTCCTGAAATTGCCAACATTCAGTCTTTTATCAAACACAAAGAATTCTGTTCATTTTAAAATGTCTGCAGGCAATCCCATTGGCTCATTTGAATAAATCGACCCTTTTAAGAGTCATATTTCTTCCTCCTTTTCCCCCTTTCAGTAACACTTCCATTATTGTACACCCTTTTTAGTTGTCTTCAGATAACAGTCAGGAGAGCAATTGATGTTGTCTGTTTTTTTTTACCAGAGGATATTTTTGACTATGTCACAGTTTGGTAAACCACGTCGCATAAAATAATTGAATTTTTTGCCTAAAAAACTAAAGAAATAAAGGTAAGGAGTTTTAAGGACAGCTCAAATTTGGTGTCAACATTTAGGTTAGCTCCTGCAGGAACATTATGTGTAAATTCTATAATGCTTGCTGTTTGATTTGGGTGATTGCTGACCCTGAGGCCTCGGAGACAGATTTACATCAGCTGCAGTGCACCGGCACAACCGTTTCTACCACCAGAGAACATTTTCCTTGCTTCCTTTAATACTCATCAAGGTGTAATAAAATTTTACTCTCCTTCTTTTCTTGTAAATCACTGAGCAAATTTTTGTTCTCTTCTATCCTGCGAAGCCGAATAGGTTGCTGAACAATCACTGAGTAAGAAATGGCTGTCTGCTGCCTAGCCATCTTCATCCTCCATCTAGAAAGTAAATGGCAAGCACATTAGTATGGTAGACGGCAATATTTATTTCTTTTATAGGAGGTTGTAATGTACTGGTCCACTATAAGAGTACTGTGTAAAACAGAGGTAATATAACACACATTAAAGCAGCACCTTTTTATAACTGCTGAATGCAGAAAGGTACTTTATCCTGCTCACATGTCTGAGAGGAGAAGTGTAATTAATTCTGAAATAGGTGACTTTTATTTCTTGTCAAGCACGCATAATGACGCGTTCACTCATCCACCTCCATTCACCTTTTGTCTTTGCATCCACTCCTGTATGCCCCGTGCCTCTCATGGCTGCCTGTATCGTATATAGACCATATTACCCATGCAATAAATATGATATGATGTATGCGTGCACATATGGAACGTTGCGTTTACTCCTGTCTCGTGTTCTCTGTGTCAAAGGAAATGGGGGGAAAATATGCATTTTATTTATTCTTACACTGGCTAGATGATTGTGAACTTTCCTTTTGTTTTTTATGATGGTACCGTGCTTTTTACCGTTGAGCTGCACCAGTTTTTGTGGCTTTCTACAAAAGTTTCCATCTTATTTCTGTTTATTCTGAGTGGAGAGATAAAAATGTGTTAAAATACTGTATATCCATAGTTTAAGCTACAAGTTGTTTCATCACTTCAAACCAGATGCATGTTGTTGTTTTTTGTATGTGCTTGTTGTGTTGTCTGTGACTGAGATTAGCATTTTAGCTAATGAGTTATTTTGTGTGGTGATTTGCCAAAGTTTACTATTATAATAAAAATACTTATAATAGAGACTTATAATTAGACTTTGTGCTTTGATTTCACATCAAAGGACATCAATTCTATTTTCATTTTAGCAAGTTAATTATTAGTGTTAACCTCTAAAATACTTGATAACTGTGCATTATGTTAATTTTTTTAATATTTGCCTCATAATGGCCCATAAGTAGTTATTTTGTTCAACCACAAAAGGCAGTAGGTGGTGCATTAATTTCTTTAGTGAATGTTAAAGCTTCCACATGAGACCATACAACCCCCCATTCATTATTTATGTTTGTGCATTAAAAAAGATTAAGGAACTGTTTTCACTCTTACTTTATTAACACACTAACCTTTTTTCTCCCCAACCTTTCCTAGCATCCCCATAAAAATCATTGTTCCTCGAGATAATGTCGACTCAAACCTCTTTGTTATGTGTTTTTCCAGGTGACAGCAACTGAAGTACTGCCAGCCAGCATGTTCATACCTGTTCCTAGTCCAGACAAGGAGTGTCAGAGCACCCCTCACTCTACAGCTAACTCTAACTCTGAGGATACGAAGAAACAAAATGGTGAGCTATGAAAAATCTGGGGTGATTTGAAGTGATTTAGTTCTATCCTCATTTAAAAATATTTACTTAAAGCTTTGATGCTTGTGATCTGTGGTAAGTCAATTGACTGGAAGTCCTGATTATATTTAAAGGATTGTTTCTCAGAAGTGTTTTGGCAGAAAGAGCAGTTTAAGATGATTGTTTACAGTAGTATACACTCATGTGGTTTAGGATCTTTAGATTACATACTAATGTTTCCCGTGTACTGTATGTAAGTGTGAGTGGAAGGGTGTAAATAGGCTATATAAATATGGTGTAAACACATTTCCTCATGAACTATGATTCATACGTATGATTTAGAATTATTTTTCCATATGTTTACCACATTCACAATAATTGATAATTCTGTGAAAATATAGGGATTTAAGAATGTCTTTTGTCAATTTAATGTACAGATGCCTCAGACGCTGATCCAGGGAAAGGACTGTCATTCCACGCAGAAATAGCTGAAGCTTGCAAGTCCCCAGTAGAGGAACAGCAGTCAGAAAAGGATGATCCAACGGGATTTCTGTGCTGGAAGAAGGGTTGTAACCAGGTGTTCAAATCCTCCAACTCCCTTCAGTTGCACTTCAATGAGGTTCACAACAAAAGACCCCAGTTGCCTGTGTCAGATCGCCATGTCTACAAGTATCGTTGTAACCAGTGCAGCCTGGCCTTCAAGACTGTGGAGAAACTACAACTTCATTCCCAGTACCATGTCATCAGAGCAGCTACAATGTGCTGCCTCTGTCAGAGAAACTTCAGAACACTGCAGGCTTTGAAGAAGCATTTAGAAACCAGTCACCTGGAGCTCAGTGAGGCTGATATTCAGCAACTTTACGGAGGCCTATTGATGAACGGTGACATTACAGTAATCGGGGATCCTTCTTTCGGTGAGGAACACGGGAGTCTGGGAGAAGATGACAAAGATGGCGATGAAAGTGACCCAGAGGAAAAACAAAGTCCCACTGGCAGTGACTCTGGTTCACTGCAGGAAGATTCTGGATCTGAACCTAAACGTGCTTTGCCATTCAGAAAGGGACCTAACTTTACCATGGAGAAGTTCTTGGACCCTTCTCGTCCTTTCAAGTGCACTGTATGCAAAGAGTCTTTTACACAAAAGAACATTCTTCTCGTTCACTATAACTCTGTCTCCCACCTTCACAAGGTGAAAAGGGCTCTCCAGGAGTCCACCACCGGTCAACCTGAGCCGACAAGTAGTCCTGACAACAAGCCATTCAAATGCAGCACTTGTAACGTGGCATATAGCCAGAGTTCCACTCTTGAGATTCACATGCGTTCGGTTCTACATCAGACTAAAGCCAGGGCAGCTAAACTAGAAGCAGTGGGAGCTGGGGGTATAACTAGCTCTTCAAGTGCCCTTGGATTAAGCAGTGGAGGTTCCAGCATCAGCACTTCAACATCAAGTTCCAATACAGCTACAAACTCAAGTACTTGTTCGACCAACCACAATTCTTCGGGGTCTCAACCAACTCAAAGTATTTTTGGAGGTAACCATGTGAGCCAGACTCATTCTAATGAAAACCAGGGGAATTCATCAGCCAGCTGTCGTTCCTCACCGTCTGAGAACCATGAGGTGAAAAAGAGCAAATTTGCAGATATGCTCTCGGCCAGGAGTCAGCAACAACAGCAACAACAACAACTTCAGCAACAGCAGCAACAGCAATTGGCTCAAGCGCAAGCCCAAGCTCAAGCTCAGCTCCAGCAAGAGCTCCAACAGCAGGCTGCCTTATTACAGTCCCAGCTCTTTAACCCAGCACTTCTGCAGCATTTCCCGATGACAGCTGATGCACTTCTCCCCCTTCAACAGCAGCAATTGCTCTTCCCTTTTTATATTCCTGGAGCAGAATTTCAGCTGAACCCAGAAATAAACCTCAGTAATTCGGCACTTGGCATAGCAGGATCATCTTCCTCCTCACGATTGGAGGATCTAAAAAACTCAGCTCAGCAGGCCCAACAGAGCTGTCTGCAGCAGCAGTTGATGCACCATCATCTTCAGCAGCAGCAGCAGCAGCAACAACAGTCTCACTCCCAGGCTCAGGGTCAAATGATGCATCTGCAGCAGAGTGGATCTCTTCCACAACAGGCTGAAAAAAAGCAGAAAATGTCCCTGTTACACAGCGAAAAAGACAAAGATGCACAAAGAGAAAAGGACACAACTGTTAAAATTGAAGACAGCATCCACAAAGATGCTACAGAAAATAAGCTGAAAGAAAAGGACATTCAGCATATTTCCCTCAACATAAGCCATGATACTGGATTTCCTCCGCCAAGAATTGCTTCAGATGCTCGAGGAAATGCAACCAAAGCTCTGCTGGAAAATTTCGGGTTTGAGTTAGTCATTCAGTACAATGAAAATAAACAGAAGGCTCAGAAGAAGAACGGTGGTCCTACAGGATCAAATGGGTCAGGTGGGATAACAAGAGTGGTAGATCCTGTGGAGGGACTGGAAAAACTGGAATGTGAAGCCTGTGGCAAGCTTTTCTCAAACATACTGATTCTGAAAAGTCACCAGGAGCATATCCATCAGGCCTTTTTCCCATTTCGATTCCTTGAGAGGTTTGCAAAGGAATACAGAGAGCAGTATGATAAACTCTACCCACTGAGACCATCAACACCAGAGGCTGCACCAGCTCCACCACCACCACCTCCCCCACCACCACCACCTCCTCCTCCACCCCAAAGAGCTCCTACACCAAATATTCCTGTAACTGCTGCATCCCTAACCCCTCCCACTGTACCTCCCCCACAGCCACAAGTTTCAATGACACAGATCCCCATGCCAATGGATTTGCCTCTGTTTTCACCACTCATGATGCAACCTATGTCCCTTCAGTCTTTGCCCACTCACTTGCCTCCCCAGTTATCATCAGTTGAGCCAAGCCTTGCCTCAGACCTGGCACAGCTGTACCAACAACAGCTCACACCTGCTATGCTCCAACAGCAGCAGAACAAAAGGCCACGAACGCGGATCACAGATGACCAGCTGAGGGTCCTGCGACAGTACTTTGACATTAACAATTCACCAAATGAGGAACAAATTAAAGAGATGGCAGATAAGTCAGGGCTGCCACAAAAAGTGATTAAACACTGGTTTAGAAATACACTTTTTAAAGAGCGACAACGCAACAAAGACTCGCCCTACAACTTCAATAATCCACCAATTACCACTCTAGATGATGTAAAAATTGATTCAAAGCCTCCTTCTCCTGAACCACAGAAACAGGAATTCTATGGAAGTAAGAGATCTTCCAGAACCCGGTTTACTGACTACCAGCTAAGAGTGCTACAAGACTTTTTTGATGCCAATGCTTATCCTAAAGATGATGAATTTGAACAACTCTCCAATCTTCTGAGCCTCCCCACACGTGTTATTGTTGTGTGGTTCCAAAATGCTCGCCAGAAGGCCAGAAAAAATTATGAAAACCAGGGAGAAGGTAGCAAAGACGGTGAAAGAAGAGAACTGTCAAATGACCGCTATATACGTACATCCAATTTGAATTACCAGTGCAAGAAATGCAGTCTGGTCTTCCAGAGAATATTTGATCTGATTAAGCACCAAAAGAAGCTGTGCTACAAAGATGAAGATGAGGATGGGCAGTCAGATAGCCAAAATGAGGACTCAATAGATCTTTCCCAAGAATGTTATACTCCCTCTGGGACTTCTTGTCACACTCCAATTCCCTCCTCTTCAAGCCTATGCCCACTTCCACCCTCTTCATCCACATTCTCACACCTACCATCTACTGAAAAGGAGGATGCCTCACCAGCGACCACCTCGACCCTGCATGAAGAAAAGCCCAAACAGTTACCAGATGTTTCT